AAAGTAATCCTAGGCCACATTTTAAATTACAAAATTAATGCATCAGTTCTCCCCATTCCACTTCCCACACTTACAGGTTCTAAAATACTGGCATCAGCATCTCTTAACCTGGACATGCTGAGATTGGAGACATCTTCCCGCTCTCTGCGCCTCGCCATGTTCTGCTCCTGAACTCTGTGGATGTTTTCACTCCACACCCGGTCAAGCTGAGTGCGCTTAAACAACACCTGGAAATGGAGGAGAGTTCAACAATCAGTTGAATGTGTGCTGTATTTCATGCAAAGTGCCGCACCAGTTCAACTGGTCCTAAGGTAATCACACTATGGGAATGTTTAAATCCAATTCACAAGCCTCAATTAACTACTTTGGCTCACAAAAAGGGCTGAGTGCAAGGGCCCCTTTTTCAGGCCTCATAAATGGATTAGGCGTTTCCTAGCACGAGCCTCAGATTCCCGAGCGCAAATGCCAATGTTAACGAGACCCACCTCAGATTAACAAGCACAGCATAAAGTTTACCTAGCACAAACTGAGCGTTTCCAAGCACTAGCCCTTGATCCGCTTATCTACCCGTTCGGTATGTTCTGTATGAGCAGAAAGTTGTCGAGAATGCATTGCTGCTGTATTAATACGCGGTATGGATAGTGGAATATACTAATGCAGTAGTTTGGTTTGTTTTGAGAATTTTCATATATTCTACGTTTATTTTGCTCAAGTTAAAATATTGATACATGGAAACAGATATTTCTCTTTCGTCAAAGAGACAGAAAGGGGAGATAATATTGCTTGTTAACACTCAGAAATCTCTGAAATTTCCATCGTTATGTCTCTTGTATCTTCTGCCATCTTGAATATAATCCGGAGTTGATAAAAAGAACCCGTATGTAAGCAGCCAAGGGCCCGGATGGAAGCTGGACAAATTGATAGTGCTTGGAAACGCTCAGTTTGTGCACTGTAACTTAACGTTTTGCTTGTTAATCTGAGGTGGGGCTCGTTAATATTGGCGTTTGCGCTAGGGAATCTAAGGCTCGTGCTCACAAACAGCAATTATCGTTTATGAGGCCTGTTTTTGGTGCCTCTTTTACATAAAAGCCTGACCATCAAATTATCTATCTCTCAATAGTGACAAGACTGGGACAGTACATCTTATACAGTCAACTCACCCTCTGAGACCTGGGTATGACAATGGTGACAAGACTGGGACAGTACATCTTATACAGTCTACTCACCCTCTGAGACCTGGGTATGACAATGGTGACCAGACTGGGACAGTACATCTTATACAGTCTACTCACCCTCTGAAACCTGGGTATGACAATGGTGACCAGACTGGGACAGTATATCTTATACAGTCAACTCACCCTCTGAGACCTGGATATGACAATGGTGACCAGACTGGGACAGTACATCTTATACAGTCTACTCACCCTCTGAGACCTGGGTATGACAATGGTGACCAGACTGGGACAGTACATCTTATACAGTCTACTCACCCTCTGAGACCTGGGTATGACAATGGTGACCAGACTGGGACAGTACATCTTATACAGCCCCAGCAGAGCTGTGATGTGTGGCTGGATACCCTGCAGAGAGGAAAATAAGTACTAGTAATATTACAACTATCATACATACCACTGTTGTAAGAGGTTTAATTGATTGTGCTTCTCCTTTGAGAATGAAAACAGTGTTGTATTTTCTGCCCAATTATGTTTTATTGTTTTTTTTTTTAGTTCCTATACTATATAGTAAGGTCTATTTTATCTGGCGCGTACAATTTGTAACTTTATTTAAAAGTGATATAATTACTGTATTATCAACTATCATTATCTATGACTGTACAATTCACCAGTTCAGTTTGGTGTAGATGAACTAAGGCTTCGTTCACATGAAAAATCTATTTTCTAAAAATCTATTTCTATCTAAAAATCTACTTAAATCTATTTTGTGATCACGGTCTGTGCCCTGAATACCCCGTGGCGTAATTAATGGCAGCGCGAGCCAGTTACTTCCAGAACTGTAATTAATTCTTGGCTGCGCTCAGAGTGATCACAAGATATCGCAAATAGAAAACAGATTTTTAGAAAATAGATTTTTCATGTGAACGGAGTCTAAGAAAGGATGTTTATGTCTAAATTTCTCGCTCCCTTTCCATGGTACCATTCCCTACTGAATATTTGTGAAGTTTCAAACTATTCAGACAAAGAAACAACAATACAAAAATGGAAACATAACTTCTATCAGCATATGATTTATATCTTAGACATCAGAAATCTGTTGACACAATTTGGCACACCATGCATATTCTGCTTAAGTTGCACTGCCGCAATATGACTAAGCTTTTAGAAATAGACATTTCATTCGTATTTATCTTGTGATATTGTTGATCAGTTTTGTTGCTGCAGCTCTTATCATTTGCTAATAATCAACTGGGGTTTTGCTAATCATCAACTGGGGTTATAACCTACTCCTTTTAACTTCATGCCACAGGGAGTTTTAGCACTATGTGCTCTTCATGCAAGATAAACACCAGAAGAGATGTGTATTTTAGGAGACTGGAGAAGCCAGATCACATCATGATGTAAGAATTAATTTTTGCCATATATTCCACCTTTTTGTCCTTAAATATATTTTATATGCAATGTGTTTTAGCTTAAGAAATGACAATCCTCTATCTAATAATAAGGTAGCAAGACTGTATTCTATCTAATAATAAGGTAGCCAGACTTATATAAAGACATATATAAAGATTTCAAAGCTAATATTTTCTCTAGAAGTATAAGCAAGTCATTACTCAGGGATGAGACTGCCATTTAGTGAAAAAGTTGGAAAATATGATGTGGGGTCCAGGGGCCACCTTGGCCAATGGTATTTTGTGCAATCAAATTGTCGGACATTTGCAGTGAGTTGGGGAAAATCTCATCCCTGCATTAGGCCACACTTTTTAATTTCAGACCAAACATCCTGCGCGCGCACCGATTTTCGACCGTTCTCAAAAAAAAAATAATAATAAAAAATCCCCCCCTCCCCCCCCCCTCGTTATTGAATTTGCCGGAAAATGTGCTTTCTGCACATGCGTATTACTGCCACGTGGAAATATGGCCGCTTTGCCATCAAATTCATCTCTAGGATTACTTTCAAATTACAGGACAATTAATTATATAAAGTCATAAAGAGAACTGGGCCGTCATTTTGGATTGTTATGCCATTGATATTGGGCATGGAGATATCCACTTTTTTACAATTATGCGAAAGGCTGGCGGCGGCCAGCAATTATCGCCCGGAAAATTTCAGTGATATTCTGTCCAAAGCAACACATACCAGGTTTTTTTGTAGCGAAAAAAAAGGGTCGACAGGGCATCGAGGTATTTGGTGGGCTGTAGGTCGGTCAGGCCACCGGAAAGTTTGGCTGTCTTATGCGAGTCGAAGTAGACCAAATGGCATTGACCGAAATGACCTTTTATAGAATTGGTAGTATTAAGCATATCTTTGCATCATTTTTTAACATTTCTGTGTAGTGTTCATAATGCTTTAATATTCTGAGAGTACAAATAAAAACATGCTGTTTGTTTGATATTCGTTTTATTGATTGTTATACCAACAAAATGCATGAAATAACCTTAAATAGATTGGGTAATATGCAGCATGTCTATCAGGCCCGTAGCCAGCAATTTCAAAAGGGGGGGGGTTCTTATTTTGAAAAAGTGGAACATTTTCCATAAAAACTTAATGTATCTAGATCAAATTTTACCCAGAGTGGACCTTTTCCCAGCAAAAGGGATGGTTCTTTCTAACCCCCTGGCTACGTGCCCGTCTATTCATGACTTTTTTAACTTTCTATGAAGTATTCACAATGCTTTAATATTTTGAGAGCATGGATAAAGACATATTGTTAGTTTGATACGTGTTTCTGTGGTAAATTTGTGTTTCCAGCTGTGTACTGACAGCATTCCTTTACTTAAGCAGCATTTTTTTTTTTTGGACTGTTTTTTTTTTTTTTTTCGCCCTCTCGCACCGATTTCGGGGTCCCCAGAGGATGTCATCCATAAAAATAAAAAAGTGTGGCCTTACTATGTATTGGAGTGAATTGTAACACATTTTGTTTAAAAAAAACTAGTAGCTGAGAGCAGTTACAAAGACCTCTACTCCTGATGTAATGTAAGTAGCAAAACCTAACTGTCAAATTGATTTGGTTGAACTCACTTTAATTGTCTATATCAAAAAACTACTACTTTGTACATGGCTCTTTATTATCTATGGATTTATTATTCTATGCAGTATTTTTAATGGAACAGGGAAACACTGTCTACACACAGCCTTTAATGTTGGATATGTATGGGAGCGTATAGCTTTATAAAATTAATCTGCAATGCATTAACTATTGTAACAAAGTTAATATTCAACATATTTTGCCGTTTTGACGCAAGGTTTCTGATAATATGATTCCACTATTCCACATCACAGATAATATTTCTGAACAACAGCCAAGACTTTTAATCTGTCTAGTTTGCCAAATAATCTGAGAACCTGATAAGTAAATGTGCTATGTAAACGACTTACTGATAATACTAGCTCAACATAATACTGATGTCAGTAACAACCTGACTGACCCATTTACAGTAGGTAATCAATACAGGTAAAAATGTAAGTCATAATGGAATCAACCCCTAGCCTTGATATATGCCAGTGTTAGTATTGTAGGTTGCTATCAAATATTCATCAGAGGTTAAATATTATAAAAAGGTACCACAACAAACACAGACCATACTTCCTATTACATTTTTACAGATCAGAAATACAAATTAAGTCATGCAGGTAGTGGATAGGACTGTAAACCAATAGCCCAAAGTCTTATCACAAAAGATTTGGATTTGTATATAATTCAGGGCAGCAGTTCTTTTGTGACCACAAGGCAAAATATCCTCCTTGGCACTCTGTGGGGTGCTCTCTACACAGTTATATTTTAACCAAACAACTGCCCTATCCCCATGACTCAGCCCACTATGAAGGGACTTTTGTAACGATATGATCATGTGACAACCTTATCTTGCCACACTTATTGTTTTGTCGACAATAAGTAACATAAAACATGATGGCAACTGACGAGAAAGAGAATCCAAGTAACAACATGGAAGAAATACTTTATGAAGCCCTCAGAAAGAATTACACAAACATTGTAAGAAATGTGAAGATTTCAGCCATTATCCGTGCAGGATTTATCGAGAAAAATCTTTTCAGTAGTGACCACTTAAAGGAGATTCTGGTGAGCCATTTAATGATTTGAATTCATTTACATTTTTAATCTATTCGACCATTTTCTTTTGCTGGGTGGCAAATAATGCAACTGTCTGTCCACACAGTATACTTAAAGGGATAATAACTCTTCATATGAAATCTGTATTTCACAATAAAAACATTGTGAGTGACTCATAAAAATATAATATATTCTGTTTTCCCACAAAAACGGCTGTTATAGCTATTATTCTGATATCTGAGCTTGTCTTTAGACCACGTGACCTCCATTGATGGCTATACTCTGTTAAAATCTCTTAAGAGATTTTAACAAAAAACCAAACTTTTTAGAAAAAAACCAGGGACTAACTATGAATGTAAAAATGGATTCATTAACCATTGGTAAGTATGGGAAAATTGTTGTTTACTCCAGGAAAATTCATTTTTTGGCCGAAACAAAGAGTTATTATCACTTTAAGGATTTTTTAATTTCTAAAATCTTATATTTCTTTTAAAAACTTCTATTTTGATCAGAGTCTCAGTAAGACCCCATTCCCATAGATTTTAGATCGATCTATCCCCATGGGGAGTCTCACTAGATTACTGTCAGCTTAGACGGCTTAAGCATCTGTCCTGCCTACTAAAAGCTGTAAGGGGGTAATTAACTATGGTGTGCGCACGGCTGACTACAATTTAGCATGAACCTCCAGGGAGTTCGATCGATCTAAATCTTAATCTCTGGATTGATCTAAATCTCTGGGAATGCACCCTAACACTACCTTTTGTGTAAATCTCAGGTTAGGTGTACTTTGATGAAGGTTTTAGATGACAGACTTTTTCTCATATTTCTGATAAAGCTTGCAGACTACAATGTAAGAAAATTGTCCAAAGTACACCTTTTCACAATTTCCCTGAGTAGTCACCACAAATATGAATGCAAATATGTCCAAAATAAATCAGGTTTTTAAGATGTATGCCCCAAAGCTTTGAAATAAGACCTGCCTGTGGAGAGGCAAAGTATTTTAACCATTTTACAGCCAATTCTTATGAGATTTTATAAAGTTTGAGAACTATTTTAAAAGAGCAATTTATTCATTTAAGAATTGCATTTTTTTTCATTTTACTTGAAATACTTTTTATCAATACATCTTCTGAGATTAACTTTTCTCCCACCTTTTGAACACTGTTAAGTGCAATGAGATTTTATTTGAGAATCCCTTTAAAATGGTTGATTACTGTCACTAGAAGTCTATTGTAACTACTACTACTAGAGCTCATGGGCTATTTAGACAGGTCGTACATACATGTTACCTTTGAAAGCTAATTATGTTAGATTATTTCACTCTCTACAGGCAAACCATGAGGCAGACAATGATAAGACCCTGGCAGTATTGGACTATCTGCCCAGAACCAAAGAGGCTTTGTATGCCTTTGTGGAAGTCATAAAGAAAGACTACTCCCGTGTTGCTGAAACTCTCAAACAAAATCTTGATGCTGCATGTGAGGAACCAAGCTTGCCAGCACCAGGTATTTCTTTTTAATAATTGATATATTAACAATTATTATATAAATAGAATCACAATAAAAATATGGAGGGTGGACAGAAAAAAATAATCATAAAGCATGCCTTATAACAAAGGAGTTACAAACACCAGGTAGATTTCACATTTTAGGATTTAACTTGATTGGCATAAAGAAAGGTATGATATGCATTCCCAAGATATATAGCATAAGCTCACCAGAGAACAGCCTTTTGTATTTTAATAATTTAAAAATCTAGAATGTTTTCAAATCTTGCTAAAACATTTGGATGGTTTCATTTTAATAGTCCCTAGTTTAAGGCTAAATGGTTGTTCCCCACTAGTTCCAGTTTCTGAGAGTGATGACAACAAGAAACTGGTAGTACACAGCCAGCTAGATTCTGCCAGTGATGGCACTGAGGTTAAGGTGCCATACACAGCCCCATGTCCAGATGACATGGTATCTGTTCACCCAACTGAACTTCAGAGGATGATCAACACTCAGCTCCAGCAGTTCTCTATAGAACAAAAGAAGACCCAGGAGCAGGAGAACCAAAACCTTTGGTCAGAAGTCCAGATGTTGAAGGTAGAAAAGAAGACCCAGGAGCAGGAGAACCAAAACCTTTGGTCAGAAGTCCAGATGTTGAAGGTAGAAAAGAAGACCCAGGAGCAGGAGAACCAAAACCTTTGGTCAGAAGTCCAGATGTTGAAGGTAGAAAAGAAGACCCAGGAGCAGGAGAACCAAAACCTTTGGTCAGAAGTCCAGATGTTGAAGGTAGAAAAGAAGACCCAGGAGCAGGAGAACCAAAACCTTTGGTCAGAAGTCCAGATGTTGAAGGTAGAAAAGAAGACCCAGGAGCAGGAGAACCAAAACCTTTGGTCAGAAGTCCAGATGTTGAAGGTAGAAAAGAAGACCCAGGAGCAGGAGAACCAAAACCTTTGGTCAGAAGTCCAGATGTTGAAGGTAGAAAAGAAGACCCAGGAGCAGGAGAACCAAAACCTTTGGTCAGAAGTCCAGATGTTGAAGGTAGAAAAGAAGACCCAGGAGCAGGAGAACCAAAACCTTTGGTCAGAAGTCCAGATGTTGAAGGTAGAAAAGAAGACCCAGGAGCAGGAGAACCAAAACCTTTGGTCAGAAGTCCAGATGTTGAAGGTAGAAAAGAAGACCCAGGAGCAGGAGAACCAAAACCTTTGGTCAGAAGTCCAGATGTTGAAGGTAGAAAAGAAGACCCAGGAGCAGGAGAACCAAAACCTTTGGTCAGAAGTCCAGATGTTGAAGGTAGAAAAGAAGACCCAGGAGCAGGAGAACCAAAACCTTTGGTCAGAAGTCCAGATGTTGAAGGTAGAAAAGAAAACCCAGGAGCAGGAGAACCAAAACCTTTGGTCAGAAGTCCAGATGTTGAAGGTAGAAAAGAAGACCCAGGAGCAGGAGAACCAAAACCTTTGGTCAGAAGTCCATAAGTTGAAGGCAGAAAACGAAGAAGGTAAACAACTCCGAGAAACTTCCGAAAAGAGATTGAATGAAGCATCTAAAATGATCCAAGAATTACAAGATGAATGTACAGCATTAAAAGATGAATGTGCAAAATACAAGGAGACCATATCCCAGCAAGAAACTACCATAAGAAGACAACAGAAAGAAATATGCCACCAAGAAGACACAATTACCCAACAAAACAAAAGGATCAGCAAACTTGAGGCTGACAAAGAACAGTTATATCAATACCAGAATAGCTGTTGTGCAAGAACATTTTCCTGCTTCTTCCCAAGACAGGCAGACAATGGTTACATTATACTGCCTGCAAATGCCAATAAACTGACAGACAGCAACAACTAGTAGATAGTAAATTACAACAACAATTGAAAATACTGGGTGCTGCAGAAATGTGACATTCAAAATTTATCTTATGTTCTTTTATTACTAAACATAGTTATTTGAAAATGAAATATATCATAGTCTTTGTTATTTATGGAACATATCTGTCTTTTTATTATATGCCATATGTCTGACCATGCACAGTGTACACAAAAAGTATGGACCTATACACTTTCAAGTAACTTATACACAGGCTTTGGGTTTAGCCACTTTGGAACTACATTAGTGCACATAATAAGACTGGGCCTGTAAACTTCCACGTAACTTACAAACAGGCATGATTGACAGTTGTAAAAACTGAAAATTCTGCGAATGTAACTGGCACTTTTTCATTGCACTTAGACCATACGAAAAATAACAAAAGAGAAAACCTAGGGACAACAGTGGGCAACCTCTGCTAGTTTTGAAGATATGAGGGGCAAGAAAATATGCAGAGTTCAGTTTGTGGTGAAAAAGTAGGTCAAAGGTCAATTTCAGGGTCACAGTATATGACTTCCTATATAAGTTCAATAGTAGCTATGAAATTTCTTTGCCAATTTTGGAGATATGAAGGCCAGGAAACATGCAAAGTGCAGTTCATCATATGCCAGTTTTCGAGATATAAGGGATAGAAAATTTGCAAAGTTCAGTTCATGGTGAAAAGTAGGTCAAAGGTCAATTCCAAGGTCACAATAAGATTGCCAGTATATGACTTCCTAGTAAAGTTTAATAGTAACTATGGGTGTATCTCTGCCAGTTTTGGAGATATAAGGGCTGGAAAATTTGCAAAGTTCAGTTCATGGTGAAAAGTAAGTCAAAGGTCAATTTCAGGGTCATATTAAGATTGCCAGTATATGACTTCCTATTCAAGTTCAATAGTAACTATGGGCGTATCTTTGCCAGTTTTGGAGATATAAAGATCAGAAAACTTGCCAAGTGCAGTTCATCATGAAAAGTAGGTCAAAGGTCAATTTCAAGGTCACAGTGTGATTACCAGCATATGACTTCCCATTCAAGTTCAATACTAACTGTGGGCGTATCTCTGCTAATTTTGGAGTATTTCACATTTTCCCCACTGCATACTGCAATTTTTGATATAGCGCAACGCCTAAACCATATTGAAAAAAAAATGGATACCACCTTCAGTATTGCACTTGACAAGCTCTACAAAATGCAATACACAAGAGGTCTCTGGCATTTACCGTTCCAGAATTAGAGCAAGTTTTCAGTTTCGGTATCTAATGGCTGCTTCTCCCGTGAAAATGCACCAACTGACCCCAAGCGCCCAAAGATGAAAGGAGTCCCCAATGGTAACCCCTCACTATAACAGTGTAGTTTCCAAAAATTAGCACAAACAATTTTTTTTTTGCAGAAAATTCCCATTTTTTAAAAAAAAAATTGGCTTGTTTGACCTTGAAAAACAGGTCAAAAGTCAAATCCAAGGGCATATTTGGAATCTCCACATATGACTTTCGGTCAGACTTCTGTAGTAATTTTTCCCATAATCCCTTTGGTTTGGGAGATATTTAGCATTGAATTTTCAAAAATTTTGACAAGGGTGCATTTCAACAAGCATCACGCCCAGGCCAATGCACCGACAGAGACAAAAAAAACCAGGGTGTTCAAGTTGAGATTATATGTGACCTAAATCCAAGAGATGGGGACACAGGTCCTTGCGGTCTAGGAGGAGAAGCAGTAACGGTGACTTCTTTCTGGCGCCTGACCTGAAAACTTTCACCCATGTATGAGTTAGTTAGCATTATTGATTTTTTAGTGCTTTACCATTACAGTACTTATTTCTTAGTTATTCTCTGCAAAGAATTTTGCAGAGTAATTGTTTTGCTCAAATCTGTTTAGGAATGCAGCATGTGGTTGTGCGGGTAGGCTGCCCTGTTATATGGCTTGTGTGCCCATAACATGCATGGTTAAAACGGAAAAGGCCATTGAACGGCAGCCATTACTGGGCCGGTCTAACATGCAAATTCGATGTTTTTGACATGAAAATCATTTTTTGAGATGAGGTAGGTGTTATAAGGAGGTAAATGTATGCATCATATGTCATCCGGTTGCTTTGTTTAGTTCAATTTGCAGTTATTAGTGTTAAAGTGTGGCCGGAAAAGGAGAAATTATACATATTTCCAGGTCAAAGAATGCATGTGGTGCAAACAAAGCACAGTTACACAATGTGGACTTTGCACGATTGACATGTATTTTAGTGCCCAGCTGAAAAGGCTGGATAGCTCAGGTGGTAGAGTAGTAGCTCTGTAGTGTAAGCTGGACGATCCGGGTTTGAGCCCTGGTCTGGCATGTGTCTTTTTTTTTTTTGCTTTATTTTATTTCTATTTTTTGTTGCATATTTAATCATATATTAACATTGTTTTATTTATTTATATGAAAAAAATAGTTACATTATTATCAGATATTTACTATTATGAAATAGACTAAAAAATATGGCAATCATTTATGCAATTATAATGCAGTGTAAAACAAAGTTAGATTTAGATAGAAAAAATATGCTTCCAGTACAACTTGCATTTTCTTGTTTAATTTGTAATTAAATCTAAATATTACTAGATTCAAAATATGAATAAAAATCAAAAGTAAATTGAAATTTAAAAAATTTTACATTTGCAGAGTTTTTTGCTCTATGAGCAATTTTATTTAACATCATTAGTTATATAGTACAATGGCCTTTGTTACTTTTTAATTTATAGGGAAATCATGTTAAAAACAGACTGAATTCCAACATTAAACATCAAAGGAGATAATTCTAGTGGATAACATAATTATGAAAAACCATGCTAAGAGATGTCTGGCTGGTAGATGTCTATCCATTTCAGTTGTAAATTAATGGCATATATGACAATGAAAATTTGTGATATTAAAATTATTTGAATATTTATATCCAGGATGACAGCTCCAAGCCTAATAAAGGGTACCAAAGCAGATAAGATTGTGCTCAGCTGGAAGTGTTGGTAATATTGCGTTGAATGGTGTAAGATGTGAAGCTGCCTGGTCATTTTTAGCTGGAAGTAGACAGGAGTGCAGCCTTGAGTGCAAAGTTGAAGCAGTTAAAGCTTCGTGAGGTGTTTTCATATCATATTCCCCATATTTCCTTAGGTACTCTGAACAAAATGCCAAAAGAAAAAAATTATCTATCTATTTATTATGGCTCCAATCCTGAGTAATTCCAGCAAAAAAGGACCAGGCAGCTTGCAAGTCTTACACCATTTGATGTAATATGACGCACACTTCCAGCACAATCTTATTTCTGCAGGCGCCCTTTACTTTTAAAAGACAAATTTGGAATATATGTCTAAAAACATTTACAAGTATTTTTTACTTCTAGCAGGGTTTCCATTAGCGCAATTTTTGTGTGTCCCTAACGCTGTTTTATCAAAATTGACCCCCAATTTAAAATGTATTGCATCCATTTGATGCCCATTTATCTCACTCCTCAATGTAAAATTATCTACTTGTGTTTTGTAAATGTCAGTACAGGTCAGAAAGTTCCATTAGTGACATTCTTTAAATGACCCTGGTCACCTACAGCTTTCACATGATAAGGTCTGTCATTGACAGGGATGGTCTGGTGGCAGAGTACACCATGTTCAAGCAACTTTACTTGTGCATGTTCACAGGCATATAAATTTAGCAAGTTTTTTGAGCATGAGTTAACAACAGATGACTACAAATATTTGTATCCATTCTTTTGCAAGTTGGTTGTTATTGCACTGGTTTTGTTTTTAGTGTGCCTTGTGAAAGGGGATTTAGTTGTATGAACAGAATCCGCACAGAATGTGGACAGGTTAATGTTACTTTCCACAGAGGGACCAAAACTGGAAGCCTTCAATTTTGGTGCTGCCCTTGCAAAATTTAAAGCTGACAAAAACAGAAAGAAGTAAAAAATAAACTGATAATAAATAAAACTTATATTCATTTCAATGTTATTTCAAACTTATTAATTCTTGACCCCTAAATTTTGAAAATGACCCCATCTTTAAAAAGTGGGGGTCAAAATAACCCTTATTTGCAAAATCTAGTGGAAACCCTGCTTTTATATTGATGAGTAAAAATTGGACTTGCAATGCTTTTTTTTCCAGAATTGGGCTAAGTATAATATATCAATAAGGTCCTACCTTAAGAAAACTTATTAACTAGTGTAAGTTATATTTTTATAGAAACACAGATGGATACTTTTCTTATACCACTCGAATTTAATGACAAATTAAGGATCAAGTTCACTGTCATTCTCAGTATCCAAAATAGCAGTACATAACTATACTCAGTTACAGGTCAACCACGAAAAACATTTTCATTTGTCTTTCTTCAAAAATTGGACTATGCAAGGAGCAAGCTTTAAGAACCCCATTTGACAGAGACACTATATCAGCAACAATACCTAAGAAAGCCTCAAGTTTATTTTTGTTTTAAGTATTAAACAATAACAGTACTTTACCATCTTCAGTTGCAAGTTGAGCAGATGTCTGATCCTAAACATGCGGACATCTTCCTTCCTGGTCATCAGATACAGGAGCTGGCATACATGTGGACACTGCAATATCAATATAATAAATATAACCCACATAGATTTAGACAAATACAAACTGGTGAGACACAAATGCTTTACAGATTATCAGTTACAGATTAAAAAAATAAACACATCTCTCCTCCTGGTAAGCCAGTACAGCAGCTAGAAAACAATTTAACATCACAAATTTAAATGGAGCTAAAACATTAAAAGGTATTTTGTTATGCAGTAATGTACTGAGGGGACATGACACCTTGCTCAATCGGATTTTTTCATGAACCCCATACCATACCCCCCCCCCCCCCCCAGTAAATTTAAGTATAATGATATACAGTTACCCACTTTCGGTGAGGTCACCTAACGGCTTAGTTTGACCCAAATCTGGATAATTGACCGATGTCTATTTTTTATCCCTGTGCCCACCCCCCTTAACAAACCCCCTCATCCTCCAGAGTAGACCAGTTGTTACATACCATGGTTTCATTCTCAGTGAAGAAGAAGATCATTCCATATAGAGTCTGCACCTTCTGCTGCTCCTCCACCAGGTCATAGACAATGATCATCCACCGTATCAACATAGACTGAAATAAAGAACAATGCCACTTACAGTGATGAAAGTGGACTTTTATTAAAACTTGAAAATGCAAGTGATAAAGACACAGCTCTATATGGAGAGTTCTAGTGGTGTAAAAATACCAACTTAATATTTTCATTTCTGGATTAATCTGAAATACTTTATCATAAAACACCCCCACTTCAACAGATTATACTAGAAATGTGCTTCTGACTTCAGTGTGTTTTTCCGTCATTTCAAGGAACTAGTTGAGTGAGAAATTAATTTTAGGAAACTCTGAAATTCAGGGCAGGATGAAAACAAATCACATTTTACAGTTCCCTTTCTTAAGTACTTAGTACTAAGTCTTGAGTCTTAGGTACCACATCATGCCTGTATCCCAGCCATGCTTATCACATTTGGTTACCAAGACCAAGGTATAAAATACAGATCCCTAAGGTTGGTGTGGGTGGATTTGAGGTGGAGCAGAGACAGGGGTTGTTAAATAACTGACACTGATCTGTTATTAAATGTTTGTGAAATAAGATATGGGACACACAAAAGTTGTGGCATGCGTAGATAACATGGATATAACCGTAAGATGAGAAGAAGGCATACCTGTACATTAGATGAAGGTTTATTGGTACACATCCAAGAGACTGCTGTGAGGAAGGACTCTGCTGTCACCTTGTCATTAGGAATCAGGCTCTTGATCAGCCGTATGTTGACACTGTCAGCTGAAAGAAATACATAAAGCTTACTTGTAATTTATTATTATAACCAATGTCTATATATTTTGCAATGTTCTATAAGTACAACATCCACCACCCTGACACATAACTGTATCCAATATTTACTAAATCTAGAGGAATCTCCTAAGCCATGCATATGCACAACACCTTGGCTCTTAGGGCTCTTCCCCATAAACTATCAATCTATATACTAGTAGATGGATCCAATTTTAGGGGACTCTAAATGCAATCATTGGAAACAAAAGGAGACAGGTTAGTTTTTTTACTGACTGCATTCATTGAGAATCCCTGTGTAGTTGGATCCATCTATATGGTTTGATAACACATTGGAAATGAGCCCTTAGTTGTATTTATTAAATCTAGAAAATCTTGCCATGTCATTCACACACCTCCTCAACTCATATCTAATATTTACAGAATCTAGAAGATGTTGCCACGTCGAACAATGGGGCAGCACCAGCAATTTTTTTTATACTTAGCAAAATCAATAGCCTACTTTTTTATCATTTTTTTCTCCAAATTGTTTAAATTTGACTAAGCCAAATCAACCCTATTTTGTTCAGCCAATTTATGCCAGTTTTAGCACTTGATAAACTAGCAAATGTCATCACTACCCCAGACACTTACACCCCTTTCCCCAACTCATATGTAACACTTACGGAACCTAGAGGAGGCTGCCACATCCACTAGTGCCTCTATATGCTCTGTCCCCAGCCCATTGTCCTTAGCCTGGTCCTCTATAGTCTCCAGTGACAGGGACAGTGGCAGGTTGTTACGTACCTTGGTGCTAGAGTCCTCTGAAAAAAGGAAATTAACAAATATTCTTTGATGAAAATTTTTGATATTTTTGGGCTGAAATATACAAAATAGCATTATGAGAAGATGAGTGTCATAAGTTTAGCTTCAATTACATGTACCAAGCCTTACTAGTGTACTAGTAAGTACTCCATCCCTTTATAAGGGACTTGCTGTGAATCACTTGAAAATTAGATTGGATGAACTCATAAAGTTAGATGCATAGTTCACTAAATACCACTTTTTTCTTGTGTCACAAAGTATCCATATTAAAATATATTATGCCACATTTAGAGTAGTTAGTAAACACTGATGGTGGAAAAGGAATGCCTAAAAAGTGATACAGTGATGAGCTGAAAAAAAAACTATGGGGTGTGAGTATCATAGAGGTAGATATGGTAACAGCTGGTCCATAGATGATGATGATGATAATTATCCAAAATTGAATTGCTTACCATTTGTGAAGTAGGCCACTGCATCATCGAGGTTTCTTTGTTCATGATCTTCACTGTGCCTGTGCTCAGCTGTGGATCTCTTGTCTTTGGACTTATTTGTTTGCTTCCCAGATGATGGCCTGGTGGACATTGCTGTGGATCCTGATATGAAATGATATGATTTATTTGCTATTAAAAATAAAAATATTAAAAAATTGATAAATATATGTACAGTCTGCAGTGTATAACACAAAAAATTGAAACATGTACATTTCCATTGTGGACCATAAAACATTTATAAAAGAAGACCAGAAACGGTTAATTTTAGAATAGTCAATCTGCATACATCATAGAGAAAATAAAGCTCAGAGGTACACTGTTTGCATTTGAAAATATCACAAATTTAGGCATTGTAAATGAATTTAAAAACCTCAAATAAAGGATCTGATTTCAATTTTTCTTCTGATTGTCAGACTATAGCGGACACTTAGAACAGCATAATTCAACTAGAAATGATATAAAATATTGAACAATGATTCGTGATCTTAAGAGAACTTGTAGAATACTGCATTTTTAATGAAAATTGGGATTTGGCGCAAAAATCTACAGTAGGTTTGGATAACTTTCAAATGTCATTGGGTTTCTAAACGAAGAATGTTTTAATCGACCAGCTTTTTCTCAAACAGACCTCTACAAATACTTCATCATTTTCTGAAATATAAAATCATTAGCTTTCGGTTTTGTAAATAACTTACCTTCTTAGTTCTATTTAACCATATTAAATGATCGTAACCCGCGATGAAATTCAAAATACTATAATGACCTTCACCTAAAATCCTGAAATCTCGAATTATCACTCGAGATTTACTATTTTTGGAACGAGGAGGACAACAGATGAATATAGGTCACTGGAGGTCACTGGATATAGGTCAAGTCATGTGCACTGTTTGTCCTGTAAGTATATGTTGATTAACAGCAACAAGTTATTTTTGATGGCATTGATTACTGGCTCTTTTTTCTTATTATTTGTATGTGAATGCAAACGTTTGCAAGTCAAATATCCCACTAGTCATTTCTTTTACTAATAATTTAACTTGGAAGTTGAAATGAACATTGTACTGTGGACCCGTGGACCGTTTTAACGAACCGCTAACGTTGTACTGAACCTGTACCTCTGACTTCGATTATCAGATTACCCCGGTTCCTACAAGTCAATATTTATTTGATATATTTTCATTATAAATGCGTTGGTAGTATGTAAATCTGATAATCAGATGTGTTTTAATTACCAAGGTCTGAAATGAGGTGCTGCGGAGCACGCTGTTTACTTCTTGTTGCTCTGGCAGTGGCAGGCTTGGCTTATATAGCCTATGTCCCAGTGCCTGATGACTTTGATAATCCCTGGGAGATAAGGCCCATTATATGGTCTACAAAACTAGGACCTTATTTGGTAAGTATCTTGTGAAATTTTAATGAAGGCGTTTTTTTTTTTTTTTTTAATTATTAAGTTTGGGAAAGCTTGTGGTTACTGAATATACAGTATTTGGCAATATTGTTTGAATAGAAATAAGAAATATCACATCAGTGGAATGTAAGTTGCATCCTTAATCAAAAATGATTACGATAATTAATTAAGATTATTGGTAAAAAAAAATGTAAAAAGCTATATACAGTACATGTTTTTTACTTAATTATGAGGCATGATACATTAATTTTGTATTTGATCCTTCATCAAAGGGCTATTTTAAATATTATACCATCGATCACTACTTGTACATTAAAGACAATGTTATTATAGATCCCCTTTTCTGTAATGTTCATCATTTTGTATATGTTATTTACATAATTGTGTAGTTTTGGCTGAAGGAGGAGCTGTGAAGGAAGATCTGGGTTATAATAAACATTAATATGAAGTATAACTATATAAGTTAAAAATAACATCATAAGATAATTGATTTAATTGCACCACCAGCGTTAGTGCTGGCGGTACACATGGTTTTAGTCCCGTCCGGTCCGTTCCGCCGGCTCCGCCGCCATGTTACCGTTACCGCTTCTCCTCCTAGACGGTAAGGGCCCCCATACCCATCTCTTGGATTTAGGTCACCTATAATCTCAACTCGTTCCACGTAAAATTTGGGATTTGTCGGTATTGGGGTCTAGGTGTGGCACTCATTGCAATGCACCCTTGACCAAAAATGGCAAAATTAAATGCTAATTATCTACCCTACGGAAGGAATTATGGGAAAAATTTCTACAGACGGCTTTCCAAAAGTCATATGTGTAGATTTCAAATATGCCCTTGGATTTGACCTTTGACCTTTATTTTAAGGTCAAATGGGCAAAAATTTTCAAAAAAATGAATTTTTTTACGAAAAAAAATTTATTTGCACTGTTATTCAGACACCACACAGACTTAACCAATAATATTATTGGAAAATGTTACCCTTCAGGTCATCTTTCATCTGTGTGAATTTGGGGTCAATCGGTGCATTTTCACGGGTGTAGCGGCCATAAGATACCGAAACTGAAAACTGTCTCTAATTCGGGAACCGTTAATGCTAGAGACCCATTCTTTTTTGCATTTTGTAGAGCATGTAAAGCCCAACACTGGAGGTGGTCTCCGTTTTTTTGTATTCCATACGGTTTTCGAGTTACGCTGTATCAAAAAGTACATATTGGTGGTGAAAGCAAAATGTGCAGTACGGTAATGGATAATAAATTTTGAACTCTGGAAAAATAAAACATAAGGCTTGGCAAAGCAGACAACTTGTGGTCAAAAATGACATTATTTCATCAAATTTGAACTTCTGGAACTTCAGAGCACCTCCCATTTCAAGAATTTTGACCAAAATGACCTTTTCTTTATTTTAATTAATTTTTTCTGTAGGAAATTTATGGCACATTAAGGTAACTCCGAAATTATAACATTTAGTCCCTTATATCTCCAAAACTGGCAGAGATAGGTCCATAGTTACTATTGAAGTTGAATAGGAAG